ACCCGTCAACTCGACTGATCTAAATTGCATTTGTCATTCATTCCAGCCTCATAAATATGTCAACATTCACTGCTGAGAATATTCTTTACAATCCTGTCAACTGGATTCTTTCTGTTCTGCTAGTGTATGTTATCAAAAAAACAATGTTTTCAGATACGACTACTGCTACTGCTCCCAAGCATTCCAGTAAGTGTCGGTTGACTAAAATCCATCGATTGGGCATTCAACATGTCAATGCAAACACCTTGAGCCGAATTCTGATTAAAAGAATCAAGACACTAACCCTGGTTGGTAGAGGTGATTGAATTGAAATCGTTTACACCTGTAGAACTGGCTTACTATAATGGTGAGGATGAAAAACCCATCTATATGTCGGTCTCTGGCATGGTGTTTGATGTATCAGCCGGTCGAAACTTTTACGGTCCAGGTAAATCCATTCACATGTTGGTCTTTTATACAACAGAACCTTTGACCCTTGATGATTGTAGGGTCGATGTATGAGACTTTCTCTGGTCGAGATGCTTCCAGAGGGATGGCCAAAAATTCGTTTAGTGATGATGTATTGGCAGATATTCATGGCCCCATCGATCCTTTAGAAGATCTCACTGAATCAGAAAAAGAATCATTACATGAATGGACCCAGTTTTATATGGGAAAGTAGGTGATGGATGATATGTGTCCTTGTTTATTATGGTCGACTCATCTTGATACTGGTTTTATAGATACATTCATATCGGAACTCTGGTGGAAAACAAGGCAGTTTAAAATATTGTTTGTGTTGTCATAGGCTTGTATGTCGATCCATCTGTCCGAGAATACGATACTACAGATTGACTATACAATGGATTAAACATATTTCTCTTTCAAAACCATAAAAATCCAACTATTACAGCTGTCTTGACGTAAAATGCAACATTAAACTGCCAAAATACATGATAAACAGTCTCATGTTGAATGTGTGCTAATATTACTGGGTTTCTACTTTGTGTCCATTTTTGTACAAAAATACAGAACAAACACTCATATTTCTGTTCCAGTACATTGCATGCTTTTGGCATTTCTTCAATCTCCAAACCAAACACTACAATACTGTATGATCATCATAGAAACAACAGTTGCATTCCTGATACGTGCAATCTTTGGCGTTATTCAAGTAGAACGTGTCTGATATTAGGATACAACAGCACTTGTTCAATGGCATGGTTGTGCCAGATGTTTGTTGGTTGTGTGTCAAACCAGCGTTTCCAATAACATATACGGTGTCTGATTGTGTGTTGTGTAGTAGGAATCTGTTGGTTGCAGTGCAATCTTTCCAGACTCCCAACATTCCAACATTCCAGGTTTCAGCAATCCGTAACATGTCAAGACTTTTTAAACAACGACATGCAACATTCCAAAACACGCATGTTATTCCAAACAGTATTCCATTCCACAAAACAACCGTCTGATTGAACATGGTTTACCAACCATTCAACAAATGGCACAAAGATTGGAACTACACTGAACCGAGTGCCTATCAAAGTCAATTTATGTACGAAAACGACAAATATTCAAGCATTGTTTATTCCAACAAGTCGATCGTTGCAAGATAAATGCAAACTCCATTTTACGTGAATACAACAGTGAATAGCTGAAGTAACGTAAACTCGTCGATTTATAGTAATCAACTGTTTCACTACAGAATTCCCCAAAGATTTCAGACTGTTTTGGCTGGTCTTTTGCCAACTTCAATCAAATAGTTTGCAATATAATTGTACTGCGAATTATCCGTTGTGTCAAAAATAATATCTTCTAGTTGTGGTCGGATTACAACATCAGATACGATACCAATATCTTCAATCCACTTTTCTTTATGATTGTCATTACGAACAAGTGCTCGATGACCTACAGTCATTTGGTTATAAAATGCCTCCTTGTTATGAGATGTCAACTCTTTTTTGAATGGCATTGGTTTAAAGTCTGTCGGATCATAAAGGATAAGGTCTGGATCTAAATTCCAAACATTTGCACCAGCGCCAGTTGTTGTGATATCCTCACCAAACACTGTTCCAATGTCATACGACTGCACAGTTCCTGCCACGATTTCACATGCAGAAACGCAATCACCACTGGTAAATACACCCATTGGTTTGGTATAAACCTTACTGCAAGTGATGATATTCTCTGGATCCGTAAAATCATGGAATAGTGAGTACTTACTGTCGTCGGGTGATGTTTTGGACCAAGCATTACGAGACGATCTCAAATCTATGGGTGATTTTACAAACATATTGTATGTGACCTTGTTCCTAAGATACTTCACTTTAAATGGCTCAATATTGCTCTTGAATAGCTGTGGAATGGCATTTGCAAAACGCATACTTCCACCACCACCTTCACGAACATCGATCAAAATAGAATTAGTGTCTTTGAGTACTGTCTTCAATAGTCCTCTCACTTCACGAATTGCTTCAAGAACTGACATCAAGTTTGTTGTGCGGGATGTGCACTCGAACGATGTCAGTTTGATTATTCCCATATTTTGGCTGTCAGGTTTCCAAATTGTCCAAGATAGTTCGAGTATACTCGTTTCATGAAATATAATCCATAAATCACGTTTTGACAATCGTCCTGTATCTTGATCCTGACTGCTTTGATCCCGTTTTCGAATATGACGAGGAGTGAGCAAAGACATGGTAGATTGGGAACCTGTGGTATGATCATCGACTGTTGTAGTTGGCAATGCATGACTATTGGATTTTACAGCGGCTGTATTTTGTAAATGTATATCAAGAGTCACGCCTGTCAGCTGTGTGTAAAGTTTGCTAGAGTATTCCCAGCAAATATGTCGATATATAGACATGTACGGTACATCAACTTCGTATATGGTGCCGCCACGAGATTTAAATTTAAACTTGATAGAGTCTTCATCAGGAAGTGGAGTATCAGATCCATATCTGAAGGTCAAGTATTTTAACGCTAGACGCTGGCTATGAGACTCGGTGGATCCACCAATGGCATTTTGATGTTTGTTTTTCCATTCGTAAAAAGTGAGGTCGTTAATGCCGACAAGTTGATCTCCAACTCTAATTTGGCTATAAGCAGTATTACGTAGTAGGTCTAATATTTCACGATCGACGGGTTGGCTGACGACGATTGTTGGGTTTTTGATCATATCGCCTGGACCATCAATGAACTGAAAAGAAATTCCCGTGGTAACGAAAAAGCAACTATACGGACCAGCTAATGTCATGGTAGTATGTGCGTCGCGAGCTCGAGCAAATGTATTCAATAACCCAAGCTGGAACTGTTTATCAGTAAGGATTTCGATATTGTTTCGGATATGCTTGAGAGCAGGAAAGGGATTTGATTTTTGGCCGTGATGCTTTATTTTTGATTCAAGATTGACCCATGCCTGGACATGTTGAATCATTGGAATTCGATTGTAATGTGTTGGTCAGTTAATAATATGCTGCAATATATTGTGTTGGTTATAGTATCAGATTGTGATGGAAATGACAACTTGCCTTGAATACATTTTCGGCATTCGACATTAGAATTTTTCGCTGTTCAAGATTATATGGCAAAAAAGCCAACAATCCAGCATCGCGATCGAGTTTGATGGGTCTATAGTCAGACCAAGTATCTTTAATAGCAGCATGTGGTGTTGATGTTGATGTTGCATCAGGTTGTGTTGTAAGAGTTTGAGCATTGATGCAAGATATTGCAGCTAAAACGGCCACCAAAAAAAGAACCATTTAAAGCAGTATGCAATGCGAGGTATGATCAGTCAGTTTGTATAACTCGCAATCGATGACGCAGCTGGTATTATATTGATGAAAAACTATTGTATAAAGTATGTGTTTTTGATTCTCAATATCTTTATAGTTGTCTTCCAATCTATCCTCCCTTTATTCAGACTGTTTTCAGTCGTGCTTTAGCTTGGTTCATCACCCTATTCTAGTATCACGTCACAAGCACCTGAATATTGTTTCCACAATATTACGCTGGCTTGTGTCAAAATAAATATACACAAACCATTCATACATAGCAGCTGTCCCTTAACAATGATTGCTTGTAACCATATAGTTTTAACGACTTGGTGATAGTCTGTTGTAGGTAGCATGAATACAGCTGTCTACGTAAAATGCAACATTAAACTGCCAAAATACATGATAAACAGTCTCATGTTGAATGTGTGCTAATATTACTGGGTTTCTACTTTGTGTCCATTTTTGTACAAAAATACAGAACAAACACTCATATTTCTGTTCCAGTACATTGCATGCTTTTGGTATTTCTTCAATCTCCAAACCAAACACTACAATACTGTATGATCATCATAGAAACAACAGTTGCATTCCTGATACGTGCAATCTTTGGCGTTATTCAAGTAGAACGTGTCTGATATTAGAATACAACAGCACTTGTTCAATGGCATGGTTGTGCCAGATGTTTGTTGGTTGTGTGTCAAGCCAGCGTTTCCAATAACATATACGGTGTCTGATTGTGTGTTGTGTAGTAGGAATCTGTTGGTTGCAGTGCAATCTTTCCAGACTCCCAACATTCCAACATTCCAGGTTTCAGCAATCCGTAACATGTCAAGACTTTTTAAACAACGACATGCAACATTCCAAAACACGCATGTTATTCCAAACAGTATTCCATTCCACAAAACAACCGTCTGATTGAACATGGTTTACCAACCATTCAACAAATGGCACAAAGATTGGAACTACACTGAACCGAGTGCCTATCAAAGTCAATTTATGTACGAAAACGACAAATATTCAAGCATTGTTTATTCCAACAAGTCGATCGTTGCAAGATAAATGCAAACTCCATTTTACGTGAATACAGCAGTGAATAGCTGAAGTAACGTAAACTCGTCGATCTATAGTAATCAACTGTTTCACTACAGAATTCCTCAAAGATTTCAGACTGTTTTGGCTGGTCTTTTGCCAACTTTGATCAAATAATCTGCAATATAATTGTACTGCGAATTATCCGTTGTGTCAAAAATAATATCTTCCAGTTGTGGTCGGATTACAACATTAGATACGATGCCAACATCTTCAACCGGCTGTCCTTTATGATTGCCATTACGGATGAATGCTCGATGACCTACAGTCATTTGGTTATAAAATGCCTCCTTGTTATGAGATGTCAACTCTTTTTTGAATGGCATTGGTTTAAAGTCTGTCGGATCATAAAAGGTAAGTTGGAGATCTAAATTCCAAACGGCTGCACCAGCACCTGCCGTTGTGATATCCTCACCAAACACTGTTCCAATGTCATACGACTGCACAGTTCCTGCCACGATTTCACATGCAGAAGCGCAATTACCACTGGTAAATACACCCATTGGTTTGGTATAAACCTTACTGCAAGTGATGATATTCTCTGGATCCGTAAAATCATGGAATAGTGAGTACTTACTGTCGTCGGGTGATGTTTTGGACCAAGCATTACGAGACGATCTCAAATCTATGGGTGATTTTACAAACATATTGTATGTGACCTTGTTCCTAAGATACTTCACTTTAAATGGCTCAATATTGCTCTTGAATAGCTGTGGAATGGCATTTGCAAAACGCATACTTCCACCACCACCTTCACGAACATCGATCAAAATAGAATTAGTGTCTTTGAGTACTGTCTTCAATAGTCCTCTCACTTCACGAATTGCTTCAAGAACTGACATCAAGTTTGTTGTGCGGGATGTGCACTCGAACGATGTCAGTTTGATTATTCCCATATTTTGGCTGTCAGGTTTCCAAATTGTCCAAGATAGTTCGAGTATACTCGTTTCATGAAATATAATCCATAAATCACGTTTTGACAATCGTCCTGTATCTTGATCCTGCCTGCTTTGATCCCGTTTTCGAATATGGCGAGGAGTGAGCAAAGACATGGTAGATTGGGAACCTGTGGTATGATCATCGACTGTTGTAGTTGGCAATGCATGACTATTGGATTTTACAGCGGCTGTATTTTGTAAATGTATATCAAGAGTCACGCCTGTCAGCTGTGTGTAAAGTTTGCTAGAGTATTCCCAGCAAATATGTCGATATATAGACATGTACGTCACATCAACTTCGTATATGGTGCCGCCACGAGATTTAAATTTAAACTTGATAGAGTCTTCATCAGGAAGTGGAGTATCAGATCCATATCTGAAGGTCAAGTATTTTAACGCTAGACGCTGGCTATGAGACTCGGTGGATCCACCAATGGCATTTTGATGTTTGTTTTTCCATTCGTAAAAAGTGAGGTCGTTAATGCCGACAAGTTGATCTCCAACTCTAATTTGGCTATAAGCAGTATTACGTAGTAGGTCTAATATTTCACGATCGACGGGTTGGCTGACGACGATTGTTGGGTTTTTGATCATATCGCCTGGACCATCAATGAACTGAAAAGAAATTCCCGTGGTAACGAAAAAGCAACTATACGGACCAGCTAATGTCATGGTAGTATGTGCGTCGCGAGCTCGAGCAAATGTATTCAATAACCCAAGCTGGAACTGTTTATCAGTAAGGATTTCGATATTGTTTCGGATATGCTTGAGAGCAGGAAAGGGATTTGATTTTTGGCCGTGATGCTTTATTTTTGATTCAAGATTGACCCATGCCTGGACATGTTGAATCATTGGAATTCGATTGTAATGTGTTGGTCAGTTAATAATATGCTGCAATATATTGTGTTGGTTATGGTATCAGATTGTGATGGAAATGACAACTTGCCTTGAATACATTTTCGGCATTCGACATTAGAATTTTTCGCTGTTCAAGATTATATGGCAAAAAAGCCAACAATCCAGCATCGCGATCGAGTTTGATGGGTCTATAGTCAGACCAAGTATCTTTAATAGCAGCATGTGGTGTTGATGTTGATGTTGCATCAGGTTGTGTTGTAAGAGTTTGAGCATTGATGCAAGATATTGCAGCTAAAACGGCCACCAAAAAAAGAACCATTTAAAGCAGTATGCAATGCGAGGTATGATCAGTCAGTTTGTATAACTCGCAATCGATGACGCAGCTGGTATTATATTGATGAAAAACTATTGTATAAAGTATGTGTTTTTGATTTTTAATATCTTTATAGTTGTCTTCCAGTTTATCCTCCCTTTTCATTTGAGGTATCTCATGATCGTGCCCCAACGTGGTCCACCCTATTCTAGTATCACATCACAAACACTTGATACTGTCTTTGTAGTGCTACACTGGCTTGTGTCAAAATAAATATACACAAACCATTCATACATAGCAGCTGTCCCTTAACAATGATTGCTTGTAACCATATAGTTTTAACGACTTGGTGATAGTCTGTTGTAGGTAGCATGAATACAGCTGTCTACGTAAAATGCAACATTAAACTGCCAAAATACATGATAAACAGTCTCATGTTGAATGTGTGCTAATATTACTGGGTTTCTACTTTGTGTCCATTTTTGTACAAAAATACAGAACAAACACTCATATTTCTGTTCCAGTACATTGCATGCTTTTGGTATTTCTTCAATCTCCAAACCAAACACTACAATACTGTATGATCATCATAGAAACAACAGTTGCATTCCTGATACGTGCAATCTTTGGCGTTATTCAAGTAGAACGTGTCTGATATTAGAATACAACAGCACTTGTTCAATGGCATGGTTGTGCCAGATGTTTGTTGGTTGTGTGTCAAGCCAGCGTTTCCAATAACATATACGGTGTCTGATTGTGTGTTGTGTAGTAGGAATCTGTTGGTTGCAGTGCAATCTTTCCAGACTCCCAACATTCCAACATTCCAGGTTTCAGCAATCCGTAACATGTCAAGACTTTTTAAACAACGACATGCAACATTCCAAAACACGCATGTTATTCCAAACAGTATTCCATTCCACAAAACAACCGTCTGATTGAACATGGTTTACCAACCATTCAACAAATGGCACGACGACTGGAACTACACTGAACCGAGTGCCTATCAAAGTCTATTTATGTACCAAAAACACAAATATTCAAGCATTGTTTATTCCAACAAGTCGATCGTTGCAAGATAAATGCAAACTCCATTTTACGTGAATACAGCAGTGAATAGCTGAAGTAACGTAAACTCGTCGATTTATAGTAATCAACTGTTTCACTACAGAATTCCTCAAAGATTTCAGACTGTTTTGGCTGGTCTTTTGCCAACTTTGATCAAATAATCTGCAATATAATTGTACTGCGAATTATCCGTTGTGTCAAAAATAATATCTTCCAGTTGTGGTCGGATTACAACATTAGATACGATGCCAACATCTTCAACCGGCTGTCCTTTATGATTGCCATTACGGATGAATGCTCGATGACCTACAGTCATTTGGTTATAAAATGCCTCCTTGTTATGAGATGTCAACTCTTTTTTGAATGGCATTGGTTTAAAGTCTGTCGGATCATAAAAGGTAAGTTGGAGATCTAAATTCCAAACGGCTGCACCAGCACCTGCCGTTGTGATATCCTCACCAAACACTGTTCCAATGTCATACGACTGCACAGTTCCTGCCACGATTTCACATGCAGAAGCGCAATTACCACTGGTAAATACACCCATTGGTTTGGTATAAACCTTACTGCAAGTGATGATATTCTCTGGATCCGTAAAATCATGGAATAGTGAGTACTTACTGTCGTCGGGTGATGTTTTGGACCAAGCATTACGAGACGATCTCAAATCTATGGGTGATTTTACAAACATATTGTATGTGACCTTGTTCCTAAGATACTTC